CAGCAACCTCACACTCCTGGGCTCAAGCGATCCTTCTGCCTCAGCCTCCCGAGTAGCTGGGACTACAGGCATGCACCACCATGCCCGGCTAGTTTTTTCTATATATTTTTAGCTGTCCGATTAATTTCTTTCTATTTTTGGTAGAGACGGGGTCTCACTTTTGCTCAGGCTGGTCTGGAACTCCTGAGCTCAAACAATCCGCCCGCCTCGGCCTCCCAGAGTGCTAGGATTACAGGCGTGAGCCACCGCGCCTGGCCGCCAAGAAGGATTCTTATGGCAAAATGTAGAACTGAGAGATTATTTGACAATAGTGAGAGAGGCATTGGCAGAGCTTTTGAAGGTTTAAGAAGACTCATCAAGAAAAAATAATCAAATGAGAAAACAACTGAGGCAAACATTAACTTTAGGAAAAACAAAAAGTTGTGCAAGAAAGGCATGTAATCATGTACATGTAACCATGTACACTACTTGGCACAAAAATGAAAAATATTAACATATTTTTAAAAGTCACTGAATAAGGATTTAACTAAAATTTTGATAAAACTATATTGGGAGAATGAAAAAAAGGAAATGGACTGTAAAGAAGCTAAAATCTTCATGTAGCATGATAGAAAGTCAGCATATTGTCTAAAATTGATGGGTCAAAGTACAGCAATGTACTGTTATTGTTTAGGAACAAGTGCCTCTAGAAAGTGTATGTGGGGGGGTGGCAGTTGTAAAATAGGGGCTGATTTTTTGTTATAATTTTTTATTATTCTTGGCCTTTTAAATGAAGATAAAGCATTCCATTACTTAAAAGTTAATTTAAATAGTATGCTGAGAAAAATACATTGGCTGTTAATCAGAGGAAAAAATTATTACAAATGGCAGTTTCAAGGGAGTTATAGGGGCAAAAATCCTTGAAAAGAATTAAAGATAGCCTATATGGGTAAAAATTTGAAAGGTTTAATTTTAGGTTCCAATTACTATTTGAACTTTTAAGATTAAAATTGAATAAGACAATTTCCAGTACTAAAGGTCTTATAGTTAGTGGGGTAGGCACATGGTAAGCTTATATGTACAATGCACCATGGGAGTGCTATAGTATATAAAGTTATTTGAGATCACTATTTTCTTTTTTCTTGACAGGGTTTCACTCTGTCATCCTGGCTAGAGTGCAGTGGCATGATCACAGCTCACTGTAACCTCAAACTCCTGATTGCTTAAGCAATCCTCTTGCCTCAGCCTCCCAAGTAGCTAGGACTACAGGTGTGAACCACCATGCCCAGCTAATTTTTCTTATTTTTTGTAGAGACGGGGTCTCGCTCTTGCTCAAGCTGGTCTTAAACTCCTGACCTCAAGCAAACCTCCTGCCTTGGCCTTTCAAACTGCTGTGATTACAGGCGGGAGCCACCGTGCCCAGCCTGAGACCACTATTATTGCAGAAAAAAGAGAGACAATCCTTGTTTGGTGTGGAGTTGAAGATGGCTCTCCAAGAGAGTTGACATTAGAAATGAGTGTTGAAGAATAAGTGGGTTCAGCTGACCAACTAGATAGGGAAGAGCGTTCTAGGTTGAGAATCTCACCATGAAAAACCTCAGCATGTTTGGGAAAGGGTAATACATTCAGTGTGGCTTGAGAGCAGGCTGCAAAGAGGGAAATGACCATACATGAGCCTGGAGCGGTAGTCTGGGGCTGGTCTTAGAGGGCCTTTGAGTCATGCCGAGGGGTTTGGAATGTAATGATTTAACCCTAGATGTGACACATCAAATGCACTCGTTAGAATGGTCCCTGGGTCTGGGGAAGCCAGTGGAAGACCCAGTGCAGGATGCAAGTCTGGGGAAGGGAGACTCCTTAGAACACTAGCACAGAAAGTGAGGGCTAAAGAGGAGCAAGGAGTTGAGAAATATTTTAGAAGCTGTTTCAGTGACAACTCATAGTGAACAATTGCAAGATGTAGGAGTCAAAGATGACTTTGATGTCCACTCATTCATCAGGCATTTACTGTGTGTCTTCTCTGTGCTGGGCATAGAGCTGAATACGGTATGGTCCCTGACCTAGAGGAGCTTTCCCTTGAGTGTGAGCACAGAGAAAAAATGAACAGTAACTGTAGCTGTGAGGCTCTACACTCCAATGGCTTGGAGAGCATTGGAATCAGCAAGACAGGCAAGTAAAGCAGCCTGGTAGATTGCAACCTTGCAGAGGAGGTTCTGGGTGGGCAAGAAGGTTGGGTTGAGGGTGTAACTGAGTGTGGTGTGGTAACCAGAGTGGGGCTGAGTTGCCCAGTGAAAATTAGGGCCTAGAAGGTGAGGAGAGCAGACCTCCTGGTGAGTACAGATGCCATATGCGTGCAGGTTTGGTATTGAAGCCACGGAAATCCAAGGGGAATGTGAAGAGGGCCACGAGGAGGACAGAGCCCAGAAAGACTTGAGAAAGAGCTGTTGAAGGAGGTGGAGGAGAACCCAGAATGGGTAGAGCTATTGAGCTGAGGGGAAGGGAGTCTGAGAAAGGAGAGGTCTATGGTGACTGATGCTGCCAAGAAAATGGGTAGCAGGGCTGAGGTATCTTACAGATGAAGCATATAGGCTAGCACTGATGATCTTAGAATGACATGGATGGGGGTTGCCCTCCAGATGCCGTGCAGGGTGGAGATCAGGTGGTGAGGATGCTGAGGAAGGAATATGGCTCTCTCTTTCAGAAGTTGCTTAGGAAGTGACGAAGACATAAGCCAGGGAGCTAAAGTGAGAAGTGGGCTTCATAAAGATGTAGCTAAAGATGTAGTCCCAGCTACTCAGGAGGCTGAGGCAGGAGGATTGCTTGAACCCAGGTGTCTGAGGTTGCAGTGAGCTATGATCACACCACTGCACTCCAGCCTGGGCAACAGAATAAGATCCTTTCTCTAAAAACAAAGAAAGAAAAAGAAACTGCAGGGCCTCTTGTTAAAAAATTATTAAGAATTTCAAGACAGCAACAGAGCATTAAACAAGTTTGGGGCCCTTTAAGTGCACGGCCCTGTATGTCTGCACAGGTTGTACACCCAGAAGCTGGCCCTGATTCTCAGCATAAGGAGCTCAGGGAGGAAGGAAGAAGGGGCTGGATCAGAGACAAAGCCTGCTCCGAGAGCAGGTGGGAGGGGAGGGACCCAGGGGCCAGGTGGAGATAGAGCCTGAAGAGGAGGAAACACAGGACTTGATGAGCTCCTGAGATGGGGAAATGGATGATGGAGAGGAGATGGAAGACAAAGATGAAGGACGAAGAGGAGGGGGCGCTGGAAGTTCATACTAGATGAACTTCTTCCAGTTCATGCTGCAGAAATGATTTTCTTTACTGAATAATCCATGGGTGGAGGAAAGTGGCAGAAATGCGCAGCAGCATGAGGGGAGTCAGAGGCCGCACTGAGCAGTGCCAGGGGCCACTGAGGGGCCCCCTATTGTTCCGGCAAGTGTCATTCCCTAACACTATCAGCAGGCACGCGCAAAGGGGGCAGGGCGAGCAAGGTGCCCAAAGCGCTGGTGAAGCTGAGGGAGGGGTGTGGCAACGAGACCCCTGAGATGATGAGCTGGGAGCCAAGTTGGGACAGCGATGAGAAGTGGGTGGCCAGGACCGGAGGGCGCTGTCATTGAGGAGGGAGGTGGACATGAAAGTGGCAGCATTAGAAGAGTAGAATTTGTGGGTTTAGTAGTCTGGCCATGAGGAGATGGTGAAGCAGGTGTAGGGCCAGTCTAAAGAACTCACTCAAGAGTTAAGTGGCAAAGTAAGGAGAGCCAGAAGTTCCGCTGGAATGAGCAGACGCGTCATGGAATAATTATTATTTTAAAACCAGGCATAAATGGGCACGTGGCAGGGAAAGAGAGCAGGAGAGGGAAAGGTTCAAGACGCTGGAGAGGCTGCCAAGTGTGGGATAGGGGTTTCTCCTCCCTTGAAACCAGAGGAAAGGGAGACAGACACTTATAAAGCTGCCTGGTGACGACTCGGTGTTAAAGAGAGATTGGGTATTATCAGTGCAACAACCTACGTGGGGTGGCGGGGAGGAACCCGGAACTCCGCAGTGGCCCGGGAATAGGGAGAACCGTGAATTCTCATTGGAAACGAAGGGGGTCGCCCGTGAGCAGCGAAGAGAGCGCCGGGAGGCGGCGCCGAGTCCCGCTGCTCCTGCCTGGCCCAGGCGAGGCGGGCAGGCTGCAAACCTCCCTCCAGGTCCCTGGGTTACAAGGGGATCCCTGGCTTTCCACCGCCCCTCCGCAATTCCGAGACCTCTCCGGAAGCGCCCCCGCCCCCGGGCCAAACGAGGTCCAGTTAGGGCTTTTGGAGATCTAACTGGGGAGAGAGGCCGTGGTGATGCAGAGGTTCCACCAGCACCCGCCGGGTGCCCTGGGGCCAGGCCCGACGCTGGAGTCCCGGAGTGGAGCCTCGCAGCTCCCATGCCTCTCCCCTGGCGCCCCCTAGGCTTGTGCCTTGAGAAGAGCAGCCCAGGTTCCCCGGCTGCCCCTCTTCTTTCTTAGCTTTCTTCACCCCAGGGGAAACCTCCCCGTAGCCCTCGCCTCGGCTCCGGGTCGCTGCCACCACCCCTCTTGCTGTCGGGGGCCGGTTCCCTCGTCTCCCGGTGCCCAGCGGAGGTATTCCGAATCGGGCAGCAGGAGCGGGCCCCACAACCTTCTGGAAAGGGTTAAGCCCTCTCCAGGTGGGGAAGAAGCCGGAGGGCGGCCCTGTCTCCCCATCTCCCCCCAACCCAGTCCCCTGGGCTCCGAGAGGTGCAGCTCGGCCCAGGGCCGCGGGGCGCACGTGCAGTCGATTCTGCTCGCCCGTGGTCTCCGCCCCGCCGCCGGCCTTTGGCGCAGGGCTGCGGATGCCACGCGAGCCGTTCTCCCTCTCCCTTTCCCGGCGGCGGGTCCCGTGGGTCGCGGCAGCCCAGCCGGGGGCCGGGAACACGGAGGAGGGGAGGAGCCGGAGGTAGAGGGGAAGGAGGGGACCTCCGGCCCCGCCCCCGCCCCGCCCCCCGCGGCCGGAGCCCCGGCTGCAGCCGGGCGCGCAGGATCTGAGAGCCCGCGAGCCAGCGAGCAGCGGCTGCGGCCACCCCTGCGCGCAGCGATCGGGGCGTCCCGGCCCGCGCCCCCCGCGGCAGGGATGCATCATGGCCACGCTGGCTTGCCGGGTGCAGTTCTTGGACGACACGGACCCTTTCAACAGCACCAACTTCCCCGAGCCCAGCCGGCCACCGCTGTTCACGTTCCGCGAGGACCTCGCGCTCGGTACCCAGCTGGCCGGGGTCCATCGGCTGCTGCGGGCGCCGCACAAGGTACGGCCCTGCGGGGTGGCCGGGCCCCCAGGACGCAGCCCGTGCCGCGATGCGCTCAGGGGTAGGGGCGCCGTGGGCGGGCGCGCCGCGGGCTGGCTTGGATGGGCGCGGCCCCGGGGGACAAGCGCCCCAAAGTAGAACCCCCTCCCCGTTAGGCTCAGGGACCCCGGGTACCCGCCGGCTGGCGCGGGACCCTCCCGAGCGGGCGGGAAGGACAGCCAGAGCCGGGGGCGGGCGCGGCCGAGCAGGTGCCGCGCTGCCGGAGGCGGGATGGAGAAGGTTCCCCGGCGCGGCGCCGTTAGCTCGGCTGGGTGGGCGGGGTGGGGATCGGACGTCGGCAGTCGGCCCCGGTACCCGGGCGGGCACCGAGCTGGGCGCAGAAAGAACCCGGGTCCTGTGGGATGGGGTCCCTTGGAGGAGATCCCTGAGTGACGCCGGGGACAAAATCTCTCTCAGGCCTCTGGGGCCGCTGCAGGCGGCCGCGCGACCCTCGCGACAAAGCACGCTTCCCGGGGACACCTCCCCCTCCCCCGGACGGGCACCGCCGAGGACGCAGACCGCGCACTGTGGTAGCGCGCGGAGTATCCCCTTTTTCTTCTGAGAAGCAGGTGGCCTTGGGAACCTTGAGGAGCAGTCGCCGTGGGAGGAGGGGCGGGGGCGCGGAGGGGCGGTGCTTTCACAAAGCCTCAGCCTGGTAGCCCGAAACGAGTGTCCCCTGGGAAGAATGGCTTCTCAGTCCACCCGTTAGAGAGGGTGTCTTTTTTTTTTAAAACCCTTTTCAAGAGGACAGGCGTCTTGCAAAGTATTTGTTGTAAAGAGCTGGGCATTGAAAGCTAATCATTTAGTTACCAAGGAAAACCCTTCCTCCCACTTAAACAGATTGAATGCAGCTTGAAGAATTAACTCACCAGTATATTTTCTGCTTAGGGTTCATATCAAAGCTTGGGGATGATTTCTTTCTTGAGTATCAACATTGATATATATTTGGAAGAAATAAACCCTAGCCTAAAGGAACAAAATTGATTTAAAAAAATTCTTCAGATTTCTGTATGATGTTCACCTGCTTTGGAAGTAGGGGAGGAGGTTACAGTGTGTGGAAACCGGTGGACTTTGGCAGCGGTGTTTTTCCTTCTCTCTTAGTGTATCAGTGCTCCCCCTACTTAATTAGTAACTGTTTTCCAGGAATAAGGAATGGGGCAGTTCTCTCCCATTCTGCCCGTGTTGGTGCAGGATGGATACAGTCACCAGACATGGAAACCTCTGTGGCCATGAAAGCATGTTGGATTGGGAGACAGAGGGACAAAATGCTGTATTATGGATTCAGCTTATCAGAATCACTTTTGGAAATTATTTGGTTCTTCTCAATTAGTGGATTCAGTAAAAAGTTTTCAAAGAGCTTCTTCTACATCGCGATTATTCCATTCATTATGGTCTCTGATTACAGTGATCTTTTGTTGAAACCACCGAAGACTCATAATTGTGGCCCTGTGACCTTGAAGTGGTTTCCTTGGATTTCAAACCCTATATGCACGGGCTGACCTTTCCAGCTGGGAGCTGAAGTATGTTTTTATGTTTCCATGGAATAGCCCCATAGTTTTTGATCCAGTGTTCCTGGTCTGGTAGGAGGAAATCCTGACGCTGCAGCATGGTCCCTCCTCCCTACCCCCACTTAGAAGACACAGCACAGCCGTTGTACCGGCTCCTAGAACTTCCGAAGGCGTCCTTTGTGGAATGAGCAGAACCAGAAGACGTGCTGCAGGGACCCTTGACCCCTGTCTTGAGGACAAGCCAGGCTCAGTCTCAGAATCTTTTGCCCGAGGACCCCTGCAGTATCTTCAGATATCTGGCATTGCTCTTTCCATCTGGAGCAGAGTCAGTGGCTAACTCTATTAACCAGGGTTTCTGTAAGGCAGAGGTCAGGGCATTTATGTGCTTGGGTACACGTTCATATTGTTCAGATGGTAGTTAATTTCTGGCAGAGAATTGTAAAATTGGCTGACCCACCGGTGATAGAAAGAGCCAGTGAGTTGGGAGTGCCTCGCCTGTAGTGTGTGCTCCGTGGGGATTCTCAGTGCGTGATATCATTTAATACTACACAGCACCACGAAGTAGAGGTTTTTATGACCCCTGTTTTAGAGATGAGGAAATTGAGGCAGAGTGATTAAATAACTCATTTTTCTGCTACAAGTGGGGCGCTGAGATTCAAAGCAGGCCTGTGTGATTGGAGATCTCAGTGCTGTTCCATTCCCTGTGACAGAAGCCGTGCCTCCTGGGGCCTCTGTTCCATTACCTTGGGGAGTTCACTCTATCAGCTTACAGGGCCAGGCACTTTTTGGCCCAGGGGCAGGTGAATGTTACAAGCATGAGTAAGAGCCTTGAGGCAGAATTTCTCGCCTGGTAGAGTTCATGGTCAGAAGTGGAAACATTGTTTCCAACCCTGCTGTGAATTAGCTAAAGCCTTCCCAGGGCCCTGCCACTGATAAGGCTTCCTGTGCCACAGGGAATGCTTCTCCCAGGTCCCATGGAGCCTGGCTTAGGCAAGAGGGGGTGTTCCTTGTGGGGAGGGTGTTCTGGGTGGTAGAAAGACGGGAGGAGCACGAGCATGGGACATGCAGACATTCTCAGTGGTCTCCACTGTCCTGCACGTCTAAGTCCCTGGAGAAGTCAGCTTTGGATTGAAGGAGATCACACGTACAGAAAAGAGTACAGGGCATCGTGTGCCGCTGGAGGAATTTTCACAAAGGGAACACACCTGTGTAACCAGCTCTGAGCAGGCCCCTTCAGACCGTCCAAATTTTAAAAGTTCTCCCGGGGGATTCTCCTGGGCTGGGAACCTTTGAACTGGACAATCTCTCAGGCCTTTCTTGGGTGGACATCTTTTCTTAACCTCGTGATATATTAATTTAGCTCATGTCTGCTGATTCCATTCGAACTTGTTCATTTAATGAAACTGTTGTCTTGGGCGAAAACAATAAATTGTGTTTATTGTACTTCATCTCATCTTTTTATAGTAGTTCCAGTGAGGATGACTAAATGATCATTAGTTTGGTTACACAAAGGTCAAAACAGGTGCTGTATTCTCAGCGGGGAGGTGTTCATTTTGGCGGTTATATGTTTTGGCTGGACTAGGTGAGGACTTCCATTTCTGTTTTCAAATGCTGCATAACTAGGTGTTTATTTCTGGCTTAATATTTTTAAAGAAAAACTATAATTATGGGACCTCTAATTTAGAAAAAAACCATGCAGTAGAGTTAGTAGAAATTTAGAATAAAACTGTACAGTAGAATTAGTAGAATCATAGGCCTTTTAAAGCTTAATATGTGTTTGGGTTGATTGACACTAAGCGCATTTAAAGATTTAAGGATTCCTTTATCCCTTGGATAGACAAAACTGGAATTGTAGAATATTTTGACAAAAAAAGAGATGACTAGCTTACATGTCAAAGTGGCAGTTATGACTTAATAATTTAATTCAGGAAGTGTTTTGTTGCCTGCTCTGGGCTGGGCAGAGTGGAGTTATAATAACTACTGCATCCTAGGCATTTGCCTGCGCCAACGAGCATCCTAGACAGGCATCACCTCTCCAAGCCCATAATGGTCATGGGACCAGGGCCCCATGGTACTGATTCTGTTGCATCTGACAGCAGGAGAGACCAAGATTGGAAGGAAATCCCCTGGTCACATGAGTGAGAGCTTCCTGAGTTGGCATTTGAAGCAGGTGTAAGCTCTTAAGGACTCCACTTTTGTGTCTTGAATGTTCTCCTTCTAGGCAGCCTGCCCACGTTCTAGGGTGTGTCCACTCATTGGATTAGCCTTGAGTGTATCGTGTTCATTCCTTTCTCGCTACCTTTGTCTTTGTCATTATCTCGCTGCCTCAGCTATCCCATCTGTGGAACAGCTGATTGCAGTGAGGCCTAGATCCTTGCTATTCTAGATGTGGGCAGGGCATCACCTGGGCTCTTGTTGGAAATGCACACTCTCAGGCTTCCCCCTTGCTGAGTCAGAACATGCATTTTCCTAAGATGCCCTGATGATTCCTGTGCACACTACAGTCTGAACAGCATGGGTCACAGGTGGTTTAGGTCAGGCTCTCAGGACACGCAGGTTCTCGCTGTCTCCCCTGTTCACAGATAACTTCCTTGAGGGTGAAGACCTGTCCAGTTCTCCACTGTTCCCCTTGAAGCTGAGTAGTGCTAAGACAGCAGAGTGTGCACTAAGGTGATTGATCCGTGTAGTTTTAGAACACAAATCCACCGGTATTATTGCACTAATGAATTTCCACCTTAATCCTCTTAAGGGACACATCTGTTTGCTACATTACATTAAGATTTTTAAAAGATGAGATCATTAGTAAACTTGGCAAGTGTGTTGTGTCATAGCATTTTAGGACACCACTGTTTAAGAATGTTGTATGAACTGCTAAGAACATCTCCGTGCAAGCAGAGTTGAATTTGACTCCACTGTAATTAGCTCAGTTGGTTGGAGCCTCGCTATTGAGTTCAGGATCATGGGATTGAACCCTTTATGGGTCAGCTGGCTTTGTTTCATGCATGGCCACAGACCATATCGGTAACCCAGCCAGACATCCAGCAGGTGCTGTCATGGCTCCTTGCAAGGATCTGGGTTGGAACAGACCGGCAGCAATCTTTGGGAAGGAAGGGGCTACCGTGTAATGAGCTTGTGTTGGGGACTGCACTGTAGGCCTCCATGTATAACTTCATTTATCCTCACAACAACTCTAGCAGGCAGACAGATGAGGAATTCCCAGTTAACAGATGAGGAAACTAAGGCACAGGGAGATTAAGCAGGTTGGCTGAGGCCACGCTGCTTTTAAGTGAAGGAGCTGAGATTTAAGGTCAAGTCTTTTTTTACTCCAAAGCCTGTAGCCAACTGTGTCCCATTATTAGAAAAACGAGCAGAGCACATGCTCTCTGCGCCGGTGGGGTGGGGTGTGGTTGATTGTATGTCGCCTTTGCACGCGGCTGCCTGTCACAGGGCTGT